AGTGCGTTATCCAGCGCATCTTGAGGCCCAGCTCTGAGTAGAGGAGCCGCGGCAGGGAGGGCGGAATCGTTTCTCATATATTCAACGGCAAGGGCAGCCCAGCCATCATGGACTACTTGCGCCCTGTCTTAGCTTCTTCTCATGTATCTCAGCTTCTTCTCATGTATCTCATGTATCTCAGAGGCGCGGAAGCCAGCTTAATGCCTGCCGGACTATGCCGGGTCTTCCCACGCAGGAAGCATTGCAGGCAGAGGCGCGGCTTCTGCAACCTTGTCGGCGCTTGCGCATCGTGCATTCGCGCCATCCGTTGGCTAGTTTTTTTTGCGACTCGCAACGGCCCGACATATATCATGCTCCCGCGTCGCTTGAGCCCCCCGATGAAGCGGCCAAAGAGCCGATGCCGCAATTCCTGCCCCATCCGCCAATTTTGGAGCAAGCAGGCCTGCCGAAGCATCTGCGCGCCCGAATCTCGGCCGCGAATGAACGCGCATGGGCCTTTTTAGCCGGGCTCCTCGGGCGCGGCGGCTCTTCTGCGCGGCGCCACTGCAGGCCGGCTCGTGGGCGTGCTATTTGGTTTCCTCGCGGCGCGCGCCAGCCGCCCCGCGGCTGCAGCCGTCGCCCCCCCCCTTGTAAACCGTTTCGTCGCGTCGGCGCGAGTTGCAGAGGCGCCGCCGCGTTCGTTTTAAGAACATCTGCCGCCCAACCTAGAGGCAGCGCCTACTACGCAGCACTCCTACGCGGACCTTTGTTTTCTGACGACGGTGCATGCGCTTTTGCGGGTCCCACAGGGAAGCTTTTCGATCGCCTCTCCATGATCATGTCGGTGATTGTGGATGCGCGCGCATTGTCGGGCATCAAGCTTAGGTCCAAGGTCAATGAAACCATGTGCCTTCTCCCAGTTAGAAGCAAACGCCAGACGTGAAGCACGGGCGCAAGCGCTGGGGCCCCAGCCTTTGTAACAGGCAGATGCGGGTGTAGCCAGGGCAGGGCATGTTTCGTGCCCTTTGTCATAATACCAGGCTTCGCGCTTACTTGGGCACGCAGCTTGATGAAACAGGCGCCATTGGCCCGGGGCTGGCGCGTCGCCGGGCAGAGGCTGCCTCATGCTGGGTAAACCTATCTCGGAAGTTCATCAGACACTCCTTCCACGTTTGCTTGCGCGAACACCTCCACCTCCTTGACGCGCTTATCCATTCTAACGCCGAGTGAATGCTGGCATGGTCATCGCTTGCTGGTCTTCAAGAGGGCCCGCCACCAGGGGGGCTTCATGCGCGTATGCAGGAGGCTCCTCAAGCTGCCCAGAGGCGATAGCACAGCCGAGCATGACACTTCCGTGCTATCTAAAGTTCGTAGGCCTCCTCGTCTTCAGTCACGCTCCCGTTGTTCGACCTACCCTTTTTTCCTGGCATCTCCCTTGCAAGCATTTGGAAAACGCGCGGGGCCCGCCCCCAGGGCGACCTCTTCGGGGACACTGGCTCGTGGTAGGCCGCAGCGCGCACTTCGTTCCAGCGCGGGGGCGCCTCTTCCACGGCCGCTCCACGAATGATAGCGCCGCGCTTCCTCCCCCTTCCCCTGCCGCCTGGTCAAGTTCCCCCCCCCGCATTCGCACGTCGTTTGTGTCTCCGCACCAATGGTTGCGTCAGCAGCAGGCGCTCGCCAGTTCTCCCCCTCAGCGCCTCCGGGTGATTCCTTTATCCCGACAGTCGGCGGGAACTACGCGAGATACCCCCAGCTGGCGTTGCATCGAGCCGCGATTCCGTCTCCGCTGGCCCCTTTAGCGCAGAGGCCGCAGCCCCCGCCGCCTCCTCCGCTAGACTAGGTAGGCAGAGCGGCCCAGCCAATTTCCCGCGCGCAGGCGGGAACAGCCGCTTCGCCTGGCTGCGGCCCCAGTGCCTCCTCCAGCCACGCGCAGGACGCAGCTGTTCTTCCACGGCACCTCTCGCCTACAGCCGCAACAGCAACAGGCAGACAGGGCGGCGCGCGGCTCCCGCCATTTGCTAATTAGAAAGCGCGGCCATTCACATTCATTGCTGGAGCGGGCAGCAGTCGCTGGCGTACTTGGTCCCAGAGACAGCGTGCGCAGGCACTCGGACGGCAGATTCCATTTTTCAATCGCGCGGAGCCGACGATACCCCCAGTTCGTCAGAAAACGAATCGCCAGTTTCGCCGACCTCGCCCTCGCCGAACCCCCCCGCCGCCCCCGCCGGCTTCTCCTGGACCCCCCGCCGTGCAGACGCCGCCGCGTGGATTCCGCAGGCTAAGTCTCCCAGTAACTGTCGCCGCCAATGCAGCGCCTGTCTTTCGAGTGCCAGTTTCCCCTCCCCCTGGGTTCACTGCATGGGAGAAGCGGCATCGCGTAAAAACTGAGGGGCAGGAAGTCGGTGACTCGCGCAAGAGGCGCAATCATTGATCCTTCACGACAAAGCGGACATCCCTCTTTTTGCCCCTTGGCCCCTGCATTCCTCCTCGTCGTTTTGGCGATCCTCCCCGTCGGCGTCGCTCACCAGCCTGCGCGAACGATGAGCGAGGTGCCTGGATTCGAGCATCCTTGGCGCAGAGTATGAAATTCGCAGGAAAGTCCCTTGTGCTGTCGTTTTCGTCCCTCCCTACGTCTCTCGCCCTTCCTTTTTCGCTTGGTCATCGGCCTCTCCCTCCGCCCCTTGGGGGGCAGTGCCCAGGCCGTGGCGCTCAGCTCCGCTGCTGGGCGCCACGGCCTGGAGAGGGCCCCCCTACCCCCCCTCTCCTGCTGGGCAGTTGCTGCCCTTGCTGATGGACCGCGCCTCGCACCTGTTCGCGCCTCCTTCGCCGCGCTCAAACCTCGCCCCGCATGCTCCACCATTTCACGATATATCTTGCGCATGTGACGCGATTCGCGCATCTCGCCCTGAACAATTCCCCCCCCAGCCTGGACTCTGACGCGCCCCCCCCCCCCCCCCAAGCGGCCGCGCGGCGCTGGGGCTTCTGTGCATCTTTGTATTTTGGGTTTCTCGCCCCTGGTCTCTGATGGGAGCCCTCCCTTTCGGGGCCTCGCGGCACCGCAGTTTTCACGCCGCTAGGTCCCTCTGTTTCATCTTCGCATGCCTGTCCTTTTTCTCTCCCCCCCCCGCGCTGCCAATTCCGGACCACAGCCATGCGGGCCCCCTCGCCCCTTGGCGCATGGCTGGCCCTCCGAGGACGCGTGCCAGGGCTCACGGTGGCAGGGCTCGTCCTACAATGCCAGCTCGCGCCGTTTCCGCCAATGGTGGCCAATCATCTACCTAGGCGAGTGGAAGCTCCTCAGCGGCGTGAACTACCCGTTACTTTGGAAGGTCGCGGGCGTCACCATCAGAGTCAGCCAGGCCCACGAGGAGTGACATTTGGAATAGGTGCAGACCCCAGGCATGCCCACCATCGCCGAGACAAGACCATGCCGCGCGATCACGCGCGCAGTCTCAAGGCCGCCATGCCAGAAGGCGAGGCCAAGTACCCTTTTCCTTCCTATTCTCCGTTTCCCTCGCTCATGTCAGCGCTTCTTGTCTCTCATCTCTCTTCGCGTGTGCCCGCCCAGCACGGTCGTGGTTTGTATGCCCCAGCTGAGTCTCCAACTTGCTTCCAGAAGCTCGTGGCGCTTGCACCTGTGAGCTCGTGGCGGCAAGGGTCACAAAGTAGGACGTTACAATTCTAGATTCGAAGCGGGTAGTATCAATCTCAGCTTACGGTCCCGACATCTGCAGGGTATGATCCTGATGTGCGGACATAGCCGCACTGTGTAAGATGTGAGTGGCGCCGTGCCTGTGGGAGGTTCCCGTGTCCACTCCATCTTCATCTTCCTCGCCCTTCTTGTGATTCCTGCCCCATCCTTTTCTCCTCACGTGCGAATGTTGTGCAGGACGGCGTGCTCTTACATGCCCCAGCCTAGTCTCCGCGCTTCGCCGAGTCATCGTGGCGCTTGTATCTGCAAACCCGTGGAGGCAAATATCGCCGTAGAAGAAAACCACATATATATATACACACACGTAGTTCCGAGGCGGGGAGCAGACAGTTATCTTCAGGTGCATCTTCGGCTCATGGACCCATCACTTGAAGGGATCGGCCCCGACGTGCGGACACCAGCCCGTTGGTACAGGATGTTAGAGGCACTGTGCCCACAGGAGGTGCCCGCATCCACCCCACCCCCTTTCCTTCCATATTGTCCTCGCCATTTCCTCCCCCTCCTGAGGCATCGTCACACATTCGAGTGTTGTTATGCCCCCGCCTAGTCTTAATGCCTCACCTGATGCTTGGTACGCTCGAAGTCACAGACACAAGCTTATTTCGATTTTGTATACGTTGAATATGCTGTCCGTTCCAACTCCATCCTCGCTCATGGTCCCGGCACTGCAGTGACCAACCCTGGCGCGCGGACACCAGCCCACTTGTACAGGATGTGGGAGGCATGGTGCCTACGGGAGGTGCCCGCATGCAGCTCCTTTCCTTCCCACTCTTTTTCATATCCGCCCCCCTCGCTCCCCCGTTTCGATCAGGCTTGGCGTCTCCCGTGCGACCAGAGGCCCAGCAAAACTGCCTTGTCTCTCCAGCCCAGCTCCTCCACTTCGCCAGCCCGTCTAGTATAACAGGCGTTCCCAGCCAGATCACACTTTATCTGGTAAGTGAGTTCTCCAGACCTTACCCCTGCTCACTCCACAGTGAGCAACTCGCCCAAATTCCGTGCCGACCCAGTTTTGCAATGTAGTGTCTTTCTTTTCGTCTCTAGCATTTCTCCTCCTCCTGCGTTACCGACGCCTCCAGGCGAAGCGGTTTGTCGCGTTGGGAGTGGAACGCGCTCGCACGATTTGGCGGTTGGGACATTGGGCCCGCCTGCGCACACCTGGCGCTTTTACACGTCAAGCTGTGGCACACGACGGTATCACATAAGAAACCTTCCTCTTCCTCCCCCTCTTTTTCCTGTCTCCCTCCTTCTCCTCCTCCTTCTCCTTTTTTTCCCCCTCCTCTTCCCTCCTCTTCCCTCCCCCCCTGCGAAGGCGGCTGCTGCAGATGTGCCTCCTCGCTTTCCAAGAGGAGGCCGTGGAGAGCCGCGCTGAGAGGCGGCGGCCTTGGTAGGAGCTGGAGGAAGAGGACGGCGACGGCGCGGAATAGGAGGAGGACGACGAGGAGTGGCATCTCGCCTTGATTTTTTCGCTGCTGCTCATTGCCGCTTGTCAGGCCCAGGAACACTCCAATGCCAGTCTCGAGCGCGTGGGCCGAACATGCCTTCCCGCCGTTCGGGCCCAGCTGGTGGTGATTCTCTTGTTGATGGCTAAGGTTGCGCGATGATTGCGGGAATGATGTCGATGATTCGATGATGATGATGGCGGTGATGATATTTGAAGGGTTTCGACCTCTGCCGCCGACACTCCTCACATTGCTTGCATGGCCACGCTTGGTTGGTATATTGGTTGGTTTTCTGGTCGGCTGGCCGACTGGCAACTTTGCTGATTGGTTCGTTGTTAGGACGTTTCATTTGCAAGTGATGTGGGTTGTTTGCTGGCTTGCTGGTTGCAGAGCCAAGATCACGTCGTGGCGCACGACGAAAGCACAAATAAGTGTGGCCCTGGGAGCCGGAACATGGTGGAATTTACGGCGGGCGGGGGGCGCGAGAGTCTGTCGTTATATTCAAACGATTGTGTCCTTGGGAACGCCAGCGCGCTGTACTTGATGATCTGTTGCATCGGGTGCGCAGTCTTGTTGTACATTACAGAAGGGGTTGTCGCCTCGGGAGGGCGAGTCTGGCGCAAATTGTATAACTTTCAGGCCTCGGGAACGCCAGCGCGTAGCGATTTACTACAGATTGTGGCTTCGGGGGCTCAGAGCTATGGCATACATTTGAGAGGGTGTGGGTGCGGCCTCGGGGGCGCAACCTTGGAGTAATTTTCGACGGCCTACGACTTGGTCGGCGCGAGTATGTCGTAAGTTGAAAAATATGTTGGCCTCGGGAGCGCCAATCATTTGCTTGTCACAAGGGGTTGCGGCTCCGGGGGCACAAGCTCGCTGCACTTGATATATCAACGGATTGAGGCCTTGGGAGCGCGAACCTGATGAATTATTCTAGTCCCAAGCCCCCACCCCCCAGGAATTCAGATTACGCGGTTCTCAGGTGGCAACTCAAAGTTGTTTACGCTCCCTTCTCGAGCGGCTTTTAACCGTTACAAAAGTGGAACTTGAGCAGAGAGCCTGTATCATTGTAATTTTGGGGCTGAAGCTGTTGCAGGGAACTGGTGTACCTCCGCCACGTGATGATCCCACAAGGGCGCTGGCGGATTATGGTTTTGTATGATTTTGATGCTGTTGGCGAGGATGCTAAAGACGTTGCGACATTGATGATGGTTGTAGTGTGGTGGTGCGGATGAGGATGATGATGGTGATGCGGATGCTGATCAGGATGGAGGAGGAGAAGGAGGAGAAGGCGGACGAGGAGGAGGAGGAGGAGGAGGAGGAGGAGGAGGAGGAGGAGGGGAGGCGAGGGCGGAGGCAGAGGCCGATGTTTGAGCAGGGGAAGGATGGACGAGGAGGAGGGGCAGGCTGAGGAGGCACGAGGAGAGCAATGAGGAGGCAGAAGAGGAGGAGAAGGAGGAGGAGGAGGAGTAGGAGGAGGAGGAGGAGGAGGAGGAGGAGGAGGAGTAGGGGGAGATGGAGAAGGAGGAGGATAAGGAGGAGGAGAAGGAATAAGGGGACGAGGACGAGGTTGAGGATGCGGTGGCGGTTGGATGACAAGGAGAAAAACGGAGAGGAGGTGGATGAGGAGGTGGATGAGAAGGAGGATCAGAAGGAGGAGAAAGAGGAGGAGGAGAAGGAGCAGGGAGAGGAGGATAAAGGGGGAGGATGAGGACCAGGAAGACGAAGAAGCTGGAGTAAGGATGAACCTTGAGAACTTGAGAAGGAGGGAGAGGAGGAAGCGGAGGAGGAGGAGGAGGTGGAGGAGGAGGAGGGGAAGGAGGTCATTAATCATGCTGAGTGGGAGCAGGAGGACGACGACGCGGAGGGGGACGAGGATGATAAGCAGGAGCATGGAGAGTTTGCGTAGACGGAGGTATGAGGAGTACGGGGATGAAAGAGGAGGAGGAGGAGGAGGAGGAGGAACACCATAATGATGAGGTCGATGAGAATGGGCAGGCGGAGGTGCACGCGTTCTTTTGTCGCGAGGTGGGAGGAGGGAGGACAATGGAGGAAGGAGGAGCAGGAGGAGGAGGTGGAGGAGGAGGTGGAGGAGGAGGAGGAGAAGGAGCTGGATGTTCCTTCACGTTCCCGCTTGTCCCTCCATGCACCACAAAATGACGAGCAGTAGGGAGGAGTAGGAGAGGGAGGAGGACGAGGAGTCGGAGGAGGTGGAGGAGGAGGGCGACGACGATGGGGAGGAGGAGGAGGAGGAGGAGGAGGAGGAGGACGAAGAGGAGGAGGTGGAGCACGGGGAGGCGTAGCAGTAGCTCCGACCCACTCGCGGCGGACGCGAAGCAGGAGTACGAGGATCAGGGGGATGAGAAGGCGAAGGTGTTGGGGAGAAGGAGGGGGAGATGAGGGAGCTCGTGGAAGTCGCGGAGCTCTGACGACCTTCGGAAGCGGCAGAAGAGGATGAGGAACACGAGGAGGAGGGGGTGGAAGAGGACGATGAGGTTGAGCTCTCATCTCTCAGTCTTGTAAGCGTTAGAGGAGGATAATCAGGACGACGCTGAGCATGCTTATGAGGATGATCATGCTGCTGATGATGATGAGGAGGCGAAGGAGGAGGCGTGAGTGGAAGAGGAGCGCGGAGATGATGATGTGGATTAGGACGACGAATTATGAGGAATTCCGGTCGGTTCCTTTCAGAAGCGGCAGGTTTGGAGCAAGAGCGAGGGGAGGAGCTCCAGTATTCGCCTCCGGGAAACGCCAAGGGGGAGAAGGGAGAAGGAGGATCAAGATAAGGAGGAAGTTCAGAAGAAAGGGCTCCGACCCCTTCTTCTAGGAAGTTGGAGCTGTGTAGGAGGGAGGAGGAAAAGCAGGACGAGCAGGAGAAGGATTTCCGATCCTCTCCTCTCGGAAACGGCAGGGTGTGATGTTGAGGAGCTTCGATGTCCTCCCCGCGAAAACTGCGGCAGAGCCTTGTTTCGAGACGAAGGGTGAGGTGAGGAGGAGGCGGAGAAGGAGGAGGAGGAGGAGGAAGATGAGAGCATGGACGAACTTTGATGTTCTAGATGTTCTTCTCAGAACTGGCGGAGGAGGAGGAGGGGGGAGGAGAAGCAGAAGGGTGAGTAGTCCTTATCTTGTGAGCACTGTAAGATTCGCCGTTTCGACATTTGGCGGAAAAGGGGGGGGGAAGGGGGTCGGTCTGGCTCTGGACCTCTGCTTAGTGCGACTGTTTGCAACAGGGCGTCCTATGGGGGTGCCTCCACCTGCTTGAAACAGGCGACAACAAACAGCCAAGATCTACTCCAGGAGGGGGGGATGAGGACGGGTGCGAGGGCCCGCGCCGATCAGTAAAACAATGACTAAGAAAACGATCATCTTCCATCTGCCCTCATTCGGAAGCGGCAGGGGATGAGGAGGATGAGGAGGGGAGGGAGGACGAAGAGGAGGGCAAGGAAACGGAGGATGAGGAGAAGAGGTGTGAGGGGATGAGAGGGATGAGAGGGATGAGGAGGAGGAGGAGGAGGAGGAGCAGCAGTGTAAGCCCAAGACGCATCAACGATGTCGCAATCAACCCTCACTCCAAGGTGCTTCTCCGTAGGGCTCTACAAGAATTAATCTCCATTGCGGGAAATGTCCATCAGAAGACACATGTCTGAGAATTCCCGATTGTGCCAAACCGCGAACCTTGGGATTTCACCGTTGCGAAACAACGGAGCTGTTGCGTCCTGACAGTCCGAGGTCGTCCCAGAACACCCTTCCTGGGACTTCAACATCGCGAATCAACGTGACTGCTGCGTCCTGACACTTCATTTCTTTTGCCAGAACACCATTCCTGGGTCTTCGACCGTGCGGATCTTCGAATTTGGTGTACAACGTCCAAAACGCATGTGCGCGGCGCTAAGGCGAGAGCCACATTTTGAAAAAGAGCCGCTTTTCAGGAATTCAAGTGCTGCAAACGTTCCGCACGAATGTGCGCGCGCCAAGGGAAGGGATGGGAAGATGTTGAGGACCACCCGCTTCCATCCGCGCAACTGTTGCGAACTTTGAGTCGAATGCGCGCGGCGCTACGGCGAGAGCCCCATTTTCAAAACGGCCCGCCCTCCGTCCGTGAACCTGCTGCCAACTTTTTGGGGCGAATGCGCGAGGCGCTAAGGCGCGAGCCACATTTTGAAAACGGCCCGCCCTCCATCCGTGAACCTCTCGCACACTTTTGTGACGCATGAGCGAAGCGCTGAGGCGAGAGCCACATGTTGAAAACGGCCCGCCCTCCATCTGTGAAGTTGCTGCACTCTTGGAGGTTCAGGATCATAATCGGTGAGGAAGTGCCCTGCGAAATGCCCGGCCCGCACTGCCGACACACCTGGGGTTGCGGCAGGGAGGAGTCATTCATAAGGAAAAAGGGTGGAGGAGGAGGAGGAGGGATAGGAAGAGGGAGAGGAGGAGGAGGAGGAGGAGGAGGAGGAGGAGGAGGATGAGGAGGAGGAGGAGGATGAGGAGAAGGAGAAGGATGATGATGATGATGATGATGATGATGATGAGGAGGAGGAGGAGGAGGAGGAGGAACAGGATATGAAGGCGGTGGGGGAAGACGATGGCGACCACGGCGACGACGACGACAACGACAGCGGCGGCGCTGGTGATGACGACGAGCTCCTCTGGTGGCCCCCGGAGAACCGTTGAGGCCTCTGGGGATCCCTAGAGGTTCCTAGGGGTCTCGGGAGGCTGGAGAATGGGCCAAGCAAGTCACAAAACCGACGTCGACGACGACGACGGCGGCGGCGGCCGTCATGACGACTTCCCATGCCTGTCCCCACAAGTCCCTGAAGTCCTGTGCCAGTTACGTGCCGAAGCAATGACGACGAAGGTGGCGATGACGGCGACGGTGACGGCGGCGCCCGCATCGACGGCAACGACGACAGCGATGACAACGACGACGGGGAGCTCCAGCTGCGCGCCCCCTCCTGGGCGAAGGCTCCTCGAGGAGCTCAGATCGCAGCAGGACCGATGGCGGGGGGTACCTACAACGTCCACGTCGTCAGCGTCGTCTCGTGGTCCTCAGTTCCCTCACCGGTGCTTGCACTGAAGGGCTCCTCGTGGGAGCTACAAGGATCTGTCGAAAGTGCGCCGCCGATTTTGGCAGGCGGCCGGTTTCTCCGGTGCCCCGATTCCCAGGTTCCTGGTTTTGGTGCCACTTCCCCGCCGATTCCAACCGGCCGTCAGGTTCCCAGGTTTCCAGCGAGCAGAGGGAATACGTAGCACCCCGCAGATGTGGATACGAGTGAGGGGGCGGTGGGGACGTCGGCAGTTTGCGAGACTCTGGAGAAGCCCGCCGCAGGCGCCGAAGTTTTACAACTTATGCAACGAGTCCGCCGCAGGCGCCGATTTTTTCGTTATCCTAATGTGGGTAGGTCGCGGGTGGGTCGCAAATGGGTCGCGGGTGGGTCGCGGGTGGGTCGCTGTTGGGTCGCGGGTGGGTCGCTGGGTCGCTGGTGGGTCGCGGTTGGGTCGCGGGGTGGGTCGCGGGTGACGCGGGTTGGGTCGCGGGTGGGTCGCGGGGTCGGTCGCTGTTGGGTCGCGGGTCGGTCGCGGTTGGGTCGCGGGGTTGGTCGCGGGGTGGGTCGCGGGTGGGTCGCAAATGGGTCGCAGTTGGGTCGCGGGTGGGTCGCGGGTCGGTCGCTGTTGGGTCGCGGGTGGGTCGCTCGCGGGGTGGGTCGCGGGTGGGTCGCAAGCGGGTCGCGGGTGGGTCGCGGGTGGGTCGCGGGGTGGGTCGTTGGTGGGTCGCGGTTGGGTCGCGGGGTGGGGGTTGCGGGTTGGACGACCACAACGAACAACAGCAACAACGACAACAGCAACAACAGCAACAACACCACCAACAACAGCAGCAGCAACAACAACGACAAAAACGTCGATACAACACGTATAATCATCACCACGGATCCCCACTGTAGCCACGCACCCAGGGACAATGAATGACCGTTCGGTCCCCTCACTCTGATAAGGATCTTTCCGGTGGGAAGAGGAAAGAGTATAACAGAGAGGTAGCGAGAGAGATAGAGAGATAGAGAGAGTGATCATACATAGTGGGTAGAAAGCAGAGAGCAGGGATCAGAGAGCAGAGCACATAACTCATAACCAAAACACGACGTACAGAAGAGAGCAAAGGGAGGAGAGGCGAGAATGGAGAGTTCAGGATCCAGAGTAGAGGGTTGATCACAGATTGGGGGGGCAGAGATCACAGGAAAAGCGGCGGAGAGTCAAGCGTATAGGGGAGAGGAGAGGTAGTAGTGTGCGCAACAGAGAGAGTAGGGAGCAACCCCGAACCCGCAGCCACACTGACAGAGCAAAGAGTTGCATCGTTCTGGCAGGATCATATACTCGGTGGTCGTACAACCCCGGGGGGGATAATACTCTCAGGGGCGCGGCGTGTGGGTATGTGGGGCTGCGATAGTAATGCAATAATGGACTCGAATAGAAGAGCATGCACGTGCATGAGGTGAGCACCTCATGGAACCACAAGGTTTCCAGTATAGCTCATACCAAGCATCCAGTAAACAGAATCGTTACCATGAGCAGGAACACGCAAACGCAACAATGCAAGTGAGCTACGCATTGCGCACATGTAAAGCCTACTGTGATGTCCCTCCCCCGATCGAACCATGCCTCCCAAACCCATTTCAACAGCGCAAATTAAACATGAGCAGGCTGAAATCCAATGCTCGCACGGCAACAACGTAAACATGAACACAAGGATGGAGTACGAGAGGAACGAACGGATCAGACAGTTGAAAGGACAGGCAGCGAGCATTTGAAGACAACACACATACATTCAGGGCAGTGCGCACATACCAACATGAATGCGAATCCCGTATGAAAGCCACTGGGTATACACTACGCACAACACGGTCGTTATGTGAACACGCAAACCAGCTAGCGAGGTGTTCATGATCAGGCCAAATACAGGAACATACCAGGGAGTCTGTAGTAACACACCTTGTGCAACACATGAAGCGAACATATAAGGAGCATAACTAAATTGATCATTCAGCTGGCGAGTCCAATAAGCAAAGCTCATTGTGGGCCTCGGGGTGAACTCAGAGCAGCATGTAATTGAATTGACAGGGTAACACAAGGAACATACTACGATGTTGATGCAAGGTTTGTGAACTCATGCTGCCGTCAACCCATGGCACCCAGCTTCGTTAATTACCCGCCTCCGACTACAATGTGTCGACCCCCTCCGTGCCGACCCACAATGCTTCATGTGGGCGGGCTCCCTTAAAGTGGTACTGATTATCGCGGGGTTGGGGGAGAGAACAGATAATCACATTCGTCATCCTCTGCTCCCGCCTAAAAGCGCGCTGCTTTTAAAACTTGCGTGGGAGCAGCTCGTTGGGGTCTTTGAGATGCAGTGTTTTCTTGCTAGGTCTCTGGAGACCTTCAGAGACCCCCGGGGACCTTCAGGGCCCGCGGGCAACGTAAGTGCTGGCCTCCTGTTTCTCTTTCTCGACCCCTTTCAGCAAGGATTTTGATTGCTTGTATTATCCAATTGCCTGCGGCAGACCCCGCCGCCGTGCCTGTGCAACAGCGCGGCAGAGAGAAGTTGGAGAAGGAGGAGCAGAAGGAGAACATGAAGACAAGGAGGAGAAGGCCTCTTAGGGGCTCCCTTTTGACCTCCTGGGAACATCCTGGGGCCTCTTGGAGGCCTCTTGGGGGCTTCTTGGGGCCTATTGGGTTGATGATGCTGTGCTGATGCTGCTGATGGTGATGATGATGCTGCTGACGATGATGATGATGATGATGATGATGATGATGATGATGATGATGATGATGATGATGATGATGATGATGATGATGATGATGATGCTGATGATGATGATGATGATGATGATGATGTTGTTGATCATGATGATGATGATGCTGATGATGCTGATGATGATGCGGATGCTAATGTTGGTGCTGATGATGGTGATCTTGATGACGATGGTAATGAGGATGTTGATGATGATATGCTGATGCTGATGATGGTTCTGATCATAATCATGGTGATAGTGATGGTGATGTTGATGGTGACGACGACGACGACGACCACGACGACCACGACGACGATCGTGGTGGCGCTTATGATGGTGACGAAGACGATGATTCTGATGATGACGATGTCGACGATTGCGACGATGGTGACGATGACGATGGCGATGATGATGCTGAGATGGAAGCGGGGGAGGAGAAGGAGCAGGGAGGAAGAGCAGGGAGGAAGAGGAGGAGGGATGAGTAGTCTGACATCCACTGTCAGGGGTCCACCATCAAATTGGGCAAAAGAAAAGGGCTCGAGAGAAACCCCGACCTTCATCGGGTGGAGTCCTTTGCCGAGACTCCTCCAGTTCTCGTACTTCTGAGGATGAGCGAGAGGCTTGCACTGATCACCTAGCTTTTCGAGGCTTTCTTCTGACCTGATCGCCCCGCAACGCCGACAAGTACATGCAATCGGCTCAAACGCGAATATTCCGAATGTCCAAGATCCCGCAGAGCCTGCGGGCGGACTCTCGGGTGCCTGGTGCACCTGCCACTCGGCGGCTTCGAAGCCAAGCGGGAAGCGTGCAGAGAACCACATGGGCATTGCCAAGAGCTGCGGGGCGCCACTCGTGGGGCACTGGTGGTGGGCCCGGCTCCGCCCTCGATGGCTTCTTGACTAGCTGGACACCGTCCAAGCAAGCTCTGGGCCACAAAGGCATGATTTTGTCCGGGAGCTTCTCCACAGCGCTCGACACCGCCACGAGGTGGTCAAGCGGTGCTCCTCTTCAGACGCATCGGGTGGCTGACCTGCTCCGAGCTTGGCGTCTCCGTCCGCCCAGTCGTTCCAGATTCGCCTGTGCAGCTCATCGGTGTCCAGAGAAACGTCGAGCTCCTGATGAACAGCGACTCTATCCATGCCAGAGACCACTTCGTCGGACAAGGCGTTAGCGTAGAGTAAAAGCATACGATAATACGAGTAACGCTCAGGTCTGGTCAAGCTCCAGAGTTTGACACCATTCCCACGATCGGACTCGAAACGCACCGGCGCAGACGTGAGATATGCAGCCGTGGAAGCTGGGGCTCCGAACTCAGCATCCTGACTCGTTTGAGGGTAACTCACGGAGAAGGGGCCGAACATGATGGCCTTCACGCGGCCGTCTGAGCAGAGCTTGGCCGCCACCCAGCCCGCCCGCTCAAGATCCTTGTTCGAGATTTTCTACACGACCCATCTGGGAGACCGTCCCCCACCAGAGCACGCTCCGAGTGGGAAGAAACGGCCAAGCCTTTTGACAGGTTAGGTTATTGGGAGGCTGTTCCTCCGTCCATGTTAAACTTGAGCCGCCTTTGCTGGAAATGCACCATCCTGTCCGAGGGGTCCGGGCCACCAGTCGCCAGGACGTTGGAGCAGGCCAGCCTCGAGCTGCAGAATTTCTGACTCCGTGGGAACCTCCTGCCTAGCATCCTCGAGAATCTGTTTTTTTTGGGGGGCAAGCTCCTGACGCTGCTCCTCGCTAGACTTGCATGTCAAAAGGCGATGGTCAATCGTGTCACCAGGCATTTTTCAATCGTGTCACCAGGCATCTACTTGATACCCAGCCGCAGGCGCTGGATACATCGGCCACACCCCTCGGCAAGTCACGGTGCGGATGCAGCCCGAGTCGAGGGTCGAAAAATGTTTGGAGGACAAGCTCTCCAAGACGACGTCGGAACATAACCTGGAGCCCGATGCACAGTTATCTCTTGCTTCACGTTCCAGCAGCCTGCGGGCGAAAATCCTAAGACACTTTTCGAGGAGGCTGGGGGGTTGAGGGTCCAGGAGAAACATTAACGCTTAGATCATCGCGCAGCCCGAAGGTCCCATTCCTTCGTCCAACCTGAGCGGGCAAGGGAGATACGCACGGCACCCAGGGCCCCCATTGATGGTCCTCCAGGTGGGGCAGGGTCCGCTAAAGGCATTTTCCCCAAGACTCCCGACTCACACCAAGA